TATTGCTTTTTATTATTATTTTGTTTTTTTTTCTTCAAAAACAAAATCTTAAAAATAGTTTTATGTCAACACAATCTCATAGTCCTCGTCCTAGTTTGTCAGAAATTTTCTTTTCATCAGAATCTGGTACAGAAGGAGAGGTCTTAAATAAAGGAATGCTTCCTTTATGTTTTCTAATTGAAAGCATTCATTTAAAAGGTGGATTAGAACATTTAAGTACTATTTACTTCGTGTTAAGATATTATTCAGGAAGATCTCAACACAAAGAAAACTTAATAAAAGGAATTCCCATAACTTTATTTGATATTACTAATCCTCATATTTGTTTATGTCTCCATACAAAAACAGCTAAAATTGGATATATTACTATTAATTTGGATGAATTTGATAGAATTATAGTTAATAAAAGGTTTCAAATTCTTTTTAATCCATCATTTCATGCAACAACTCCAATGGCACTTCAATCAACAATTCGTCTTTCATTTAATAGTATTTCTACAGTCCAACTTATTCAAAATTCTTTTATTCCACTTAATATAGGAAATACATTAGAAAAATATAATAGACCAGATATTGAGGTTAAGTTAAGTCGTGTAGGAGATATTTTCTTTTCTGAATGTCAAAGTAATTTGTTGAAAAAACCTTTACCTTTATTATTACCAAATTTTACTCAAAATGATACTGAAGTCGAAATCTTTCATAACAATCTCAATCCTCAAAATCGATTATTTAAGATTATTGAGAAGATTAAACCTCATGACTTATTGAGTTATGAATTAGTCAGTATTCCACCAACAGAAAATAATAAAATTGTTCTTGACAATTTCCTTTCTTGTATTAATTGGAAAGAGTCTGTAATCAATAAACGTAAAACTTCATTCCAAATTATGGATTTTGATGAAAAAGGTAGAGTTGTAATTAAACAAGAAGAAACCTTTCCAGGATACTTTGTTAGAATAAACTCAAAAAAAAGAATAGTCAAACTTTGGCTAACAAATGAGTCAATGTTTGATTGGGCTTTAGTACATGTAGATAAAAAAGATATGCATTACTATATTTCTTTATATGCCAATCCTCTTCAAAAACATATTAAAACCCAATTTAATAACTATGAATTTAGTACCAGTGTAATGCTTAAAGTACCATTAGATGTTATGTCTATTCATTCGTTGACTTTTTTTCTGTATGAACTACAACCTTTCAATTCATCATTGACGACAATGAAATCATTATTCCCGTTGTTCTAATTATATTACTTTGTATTATTTCTTTTTTTAGACGAATATAACTAAACAAAGAAAAATCATAAAGTAGACTAAAAACCCTAATTCCAAAAATAGAAATTAAAAATAGGAAAAATAAAATAATAAAACTATATCAATACCTTTATTTTTAAATAGTGAAAAAACAAAAGAAGTACTTCAAGAGAAAAAAGAAATTTGTTCTAAGTATTAAGAAGGATATAAAAAGGAAATGAACTCAATTAAAAAAAGACTGATTAAACAAAAAGAAAGGATGGAAAGTACTCAACCAAAGATAACTATTACTAAAAAACCTGCTCTCGAGGTTGTAGAACCTCCACAAGCTAAATTCTTGTTAGTTGCATTCCTTGTAATTGTCATTATTGCATTTTCAAATATAGTCATTATGACTGCTCATTGAACAAGAGTTAAATAGAACGATTTTAATTAATATCCCCTTTATTATTAAATTAATAAATTTAGGTTAAATATTTTATTAATTAATAAACTAAGCAAGTTCAGGAAAGATGAGCTTCAATTGATAAAGCAATAAGTCATCATTATAATTTTTAATATATTCTTGTACTTTAGTAGAAGGTATTTCAACAGAATATTGGTTTGCTATTTGCAATGCCATTGATATATTATTATTCATTAAATATAAATCAACTAATTTTGAATAATTTTTCATCCTTTTTAACATATCTAATCCACAATAATATAAACATGGTATTGAAGTTTGTTGTTGAAGTAATATTGCTGCAATTGAATTATTATCTGGTATTACTTTATATTGTAATAATTGAGTTAAAACAAATTCTTTTCTTTGTTGAATTAGTCCATTTACAAGAGCAATATATAAATCTTCAGGGATTTGAAGAACTCTTTGTGTAGCACAAGTAATCATCTTCATATAAAGTTCTTCATTCATTTCATCACTTAATTTTGATTGTTTAATGCAGTCAAAAATTTCTTTCATAGTGATAGCTTGATTACAATGTCTTGATCCAATAGTTTCAATTATTTTTTGAAGGTCAAATTTAATTTGTTTACAATTTAAACTATTTAAACTGTTTTGAAAACAAGACATAACTGCTTGTTCATTATTCTTAATTTTTAACTCTTTTTCTATTACACTTTCTTCCATACTTCTTTTATTAAAGATCTTTTTTTTTAGTTTTATTTTAAAAAGAAGAAGATAGTTGAAAATCAAATTCAAATTAAAAAGAATCTAAAAGGAACGTTGGGAAAACAAAATAAGCTAAAACCATAACAATTCCACAAGTAATGAAATGGAAAATAAATGCTATATTAACTAATTCATGTTCTGTCTTTGGACCAACTATAAAGAGAATTAAATTTAATAATGTATGATGTGAAGTAACACATTCCAATTTATGAGTTTCTTTATTTAATTTTGGTAATCTATGTCTTGGACAATAAATAAATCCAAAAAGTTGTGGAATAGAAACAAAGAAATTAATAAATTCAGGGAAGAATAAACAAAACATTAAACGGTCATAACCTCCAATTATTGAAGCTACTCCTAATACTCCACCTGAAAAATAAGTAAATGAATCTCCAACAAATACTTTACTTGGAAATTTATTATAATAAAATAGAACTATTGTTACAAATATAAAGGGAATAAGAAGATATAATGATAATAAAGAAGCTTCATATTGTTTTAATGAACTTGTTGTTAATAAAACAATAATATTATGAAGAATAGAATAAGCAGAAATAATAATACATTGTCCAGATTCTAATCCATTAACTCCTGCAAACATATTAATTGAATTAGTAAAGAATACTGATAAACAAATTAATGCAAAAGGATAAATGATTGATAAATTTATTCCGAATAATATGCAACTTCCAGGATAGATAATTACAATTAATGCTGAAGAACAAAATGATAAAATTAATTTATATCTCCATCTAATGTCAAGAAAATCATCAATTAATCCAATAATAAAATTAAATAAAATTACTAATAATGATATAATATAATTAGGTATTGATATCAATGATGAAAATAACATAGTAATAAACATAAATACTATACCACATACTAATCCCATTGACTCTGGTATTTTGTCTTGAGTCCCTTTATTAATATCAAGTCCAAATAGTCCTTTTTCAATACATTTATTTCCCATATGTGGAATTAAATAATAACATGCTACTCCACCCATAAAAGAAAAACCAAGAAGTATTCCACAATTACTTATGTCATTAAAACTTTCTTTAAAAGGAAGAAGACATGTTAAAATAATTAATCCAAATACACCACAATAAAATGCGTCTAACTTCATTTTAAAATTTAATTCAATAATTTTTTTTAAGTTTTTGTTTAGGTTTTTAAAGGGTTTAATTTTGTATTAAAAACAAAATAACATGAATGGAAATAATTCATTTAATCTTCTATTGAATCTGTTTCCATTTCCATAACAACAGTACTCTCTTGATTTATTTGTTGTTGTTTTAATAACAATTTCTTTAGTTTATTTGTTATTTCATGATTCATTTTTCCAACTATTTGAGTTAAATCAAGAATAACTTTTTTATTCATTTGAACAACTGAAAGAACAGACGCAAGACATTCTAATGGCCATTCATTAAATAAATAATCAACTTCTAATAAAGGTTCTTTAAATAATTTCTTTTGATTACATTCAATAGCAAGATCATCAATAATAGATTCCATTCTTCCTTTATTTTCTCCAATTTCATTATTAAATAAGAAATAAAATTCACATTGAATACCAAATAATTCAAATAGTTTTTGTTCATCTTTACTACTTATTTTTGAAATTGAATATAATAACTCAAATAATTCATTATATCCAAATGAATTATTAGTTTCATTATTAATTTTGTTCCATAACAATAAATAATTTAATATATGTAAAATTATTAAACTTTCTTCTGTAATTTCTTGTATTCCTTCAATTCTATTTTTTAATTTAATAATTCTTTCTCTTAATAATGGTAATGGATCTACTTTAATATAATGATATAATATTATTAACCCTTTTATTCCATCTATATTAATTGATTCATCATCCATTCCATCATCTAAAATACTATTACAAATAACTCTACAATCTTCTTGAATAATTCCAGATATAATTTGTTGAATTTCTGGATGTTGAATTGTATTCATTTCACTTAATAATTCAAAGTAATTATAAATCATATCATATCCACTTTCTCTAATATTAATACTTACTTCTTTTAAAAATTCTTTTAAATTATTTAAATTACCTTCTGTTTTTAATGACTCTTTTTCAATATATTTACATATTCTTAATAACCAATTTATATCATTCTCTTCTTTTGTTGATACTTCATACATTTCTTTTAAATGATGACAAATTGCTTCACTCACTTCTAAGAAAGTATCAACTTCTTTCTTTTTATCACTTGCACTTAATTTTACCATTATTTCATCTCCAGTTAATTGTCTTCTTGCACCTCTCATTACCATACTATATAATATTCCAAATAATACATTTTCATGTCCTTCATAAAGAGCTGAATCTTCTTTATCAAATAATGCTAATGATTCATTCCCAATAATAAACTCAATTAATAATTCAATATTTTCATTAAATTCTTCAAATTCTGGAACAAGATATTCTAATGAAAAATAACTAAAATTTGGAAGGTCTGTTTCTTTTTCTACAATTTCAATAATTAATCTAATAATAATCACTATTTTTAATTTTTTCTTATCTTTTATTACAAATTTCCTTTCTCCTTTTATAAATTTATCAACATGTCTTTCAAGAAATGATGCAATATATATTGCTGCCTCTTTTCTAATTTTTGAATTTTTATCACATAACATTCTATACATTTCTTTTCTTTCTTTTTCTTTAATCAATCCCCATTCATCTAATTTACTACATAGTCCAATACTTATTTTACTTACTTCAATGTCTTCGTCTAATCGCATTTCTATTATTCTTTCTTTTAAACTTTTTCCCATTTCAATATATATATCTGATGGATTATTATTAATAGTATTAAATTCTTCATATATTTGTTTAACAACACTCTTTCTGACAGTAGGATCATCGTCATATAATAAATTATCAATAATTTTCTTTTTTTCATCATATTCATCTTCAAAATTATTTAATATAGTTTCACATACTATTCTTCTTATATCTCTTGAAACATCATAAACTCGTGGTAATAAAATAACTTTCTTTAAATGATTTAATAACTTTTCTAAATGAATTTGTGCTTTTTCTATTCTTTCTATTTCTTGTTTTTTATCTTTTTTTCTTCCTTTTTTAATAATTGTTAATTGGTTTTCTAATTCTTTTTGTGTAACAATATAATTTTCATACATTACTTGTGTAACACTTATTATTCCATATCGTATATTTCTTATCTCATTTGGGCTTAGTCCCGCAAGTATTTCATGTATTAGTTTAATACTTTTCCCATATTCTTTTCTTTCTTCTATTGATCCTTCTTTAATAATACCACAAACAACTTTCCAAACTCCTTTCCATAACCTTTTTAATATCTGTGTAACATTTAAATTATTTGTAACCAAATCATCATTATCAATTCTATCTCCAATATCTTTAAACCTCTTTTCTTCAAGATACTCATCTGTAAAAATATTTTCTGTTTTATCAATAGGAAGCCCAATAACTCCAAGAGTTAATTCAATAATTATTTGATAATTTTCTTTAAAATTATCTGAAACTCTTCTTACAGTATCACTCCATTTGGAAACACTGATAAGATCGTTATACATATCATCTAATGTAAATGTTACTTCTTTAGATTCTTCTTTGGCTTCACTTGACATTTCTTTAAATAAAAATTAATTGAGTTTTTTTCTTTTTTTTTTGATTAAAAACTATACTTTAATAATTTTTTATAGCTTTTAATTTAGTTTTTTCTTTTCTTTTTCAGAATTAAAAAACGAAATGTTGGTACATAAGAAATAGGAACTTATAATTTAAATATTTGTGTTGATGGCAGAAGATAAACAAATAGAAAAAAGAAGGTTAACAAAATCAATGAAAGGGTTAAAAAAGTATATCGACTTTGATGAAAGTGTTATTTCTATTGAAGAATATAGAGACAAAATGAGTACATTTAATTGTAATCAGTATGAAGAAATAAAGAATAACACACTAAAAAAATACAAAAAACCACCTTCATCTGCACCGTTTAATATAATAGATTATAGAACAGAAGAAAAGAAAAAAACTACTAGAAGAGTATTTAATGAAGTTCATACTCTTAAACACAAAGACAAAATTAACAAAGAGATAATTATTCAATTTGTTCATCATTATCAAGGAAATTCTAGTTGTACAGAATTTCAAATGACTATGTATTTAAATGATAATGGTGAATTTAAATGGCTGCCAAAACACAAATCTTATTTTCTTTCGGTAATAAAAGGGTTTTCATTTCAATTAGTTGTTGTAAATGAAACTATTGAATGCATTAGTGTTTTTACCCAGCACTGTATTTGTAGTGTTATCAATCCAACTAATTTGTATATTACTTTTAACATTAATAACTCCTCAAATCAACTTAAATGTCTTTGGACTGTTTGTTTCTTTCACTTTCATTCTTCTTTTTAAAATAGTTTATTCATTCTTGTAGTTTAAATCTTCCAATGACCTCAATAAAATTAAGACATTGTTCATTTTTTAGATTTTGCGTTACCTTTTTTCCTAAATATTTATAAATCATTACCTGTGCTTAAGTCAATTGTAATAACAATTTGCTTTCTCTGTTATCTTCTTTTTTACTTTTTAGTAGTTACTGAGTCATTCTATGTTCATTTTATGGCTTTTCATTCTTTTTCCTTGTTTTTATCTAATACTTTCATAGTTTTTATACTCAGAACCTTGTAATATACTCTTCACATCCACTTGTTTATCTATATCCTTTTCTTTTGTGACTCTTTCTCATTTAACTGTGATATGAATGGTAATATACCAACACATCTCTATCTGTTCTACTCTTTTGAGTCATCATTATTATAGTTATAATGATGATAATAACAATTGTAATGATAATAATGATGGTTAATTACATAATGAAGAGAAAAGAAAAGAAAGAACAAGAGAAAACAACAACAATATTCAAAATAACACAATCAAATATCAAATTCATATCACTTGGAGATGGAATATTAACAAATAAGAAAGAAATAGAACTTCAAGAAGGAGAAAAAATTCAAGTGAATGAAGAAATAAGAGAATTGATTTGTATTGGAAATTCAAAGAAAGAGAAGATGAAAATACAAATAAGTAGTAAAGAAGAAAATGAGAAATATTCAATTTGAACAAACAAAAATGTCTTTACAATTGAAGGAGGATATGATTATGAATGTGA